AAACACGGATAATAAATAGTAGCTGCCTCATAAGGCTAATGCTGGGATCAGTCAAATGAGATCATGCAAAGCACCCAGCACTGGCTAACACTCAATAAAGAATAGCCATTATGATCATTAGAAAGACATAGGAAGAGACTTTTGTCATTGTCACGGTTTTATCTTAAAATGTTACTGTATGTTAATATTCTGAGTCGTTACAAGAGAAAGCAACAAGTGTCCTGCATTGCTCAGGATCATACCTCCTCCAAGATACCCTGCTACATTGTTAAAATACCTTGGGAGGGGTGGGGGGGGATGTATCCAGTTAAGCCAATGTTAAACTGTTTCCCTTCTGGAAAGGTTGAAATATATGAAAACAGCATAAGAAATAGCTCTGTATAAAATGAGTTCTAGGTAAGACAATATTGTGGTAAGTGAACTAAACAAAGATTAATCTGAAATTGGACTCTGATCCCCAAGTGAACCAGCCAGTGTAGCCCGGTCTTTACTGGACCCGAGGAGGAAAAACAAACCTGTGTCTATCTCAGCGGTGATCTGGCTGGATATGATCTAAGCTTTGAACAGTGCCTAAGCGCATTTCAGATGTATCTTATATGTTAAATACTAAGCAGGGAGCGTTGAGCTGGGGCAGTGCATCCTGATACTGAGGAATTGACATAGGAAAATGCATAGCATTGTAATTTGGTCTTTTGCTATTCTTTTATTTGTTTATTTATTTATTTATTTATTTATTTTTGAGACAGCGTCTTGCTCTGTGGCCCAAGCTGGAGTGCAATGGTGCAATCTTGGCTCACTGCAACCTCTGGCTCCAGTTCGAGCAATTTTCCTCCCTCAGCCTCCCAAGTAGCTGGGATTACAGGTGCACACCACCACGCCCAGCTAATTTTTGTATTTTTAGTAGAGATGGGGTTTTGCCACGTTGGCCAGGCTGGTCTCAAACTGCTGACCTCAGGTGATCCACCTGCCTCGGCCTTCCAAAGTGTTGGGATTATAGGCGTGAGCCACCCCACCCGGCCTATTTTCTCATTTTAGTCAGACAAGTTTCCTTTTCTGTTAGATCTCTCCCCAATAATTGCAAAAACCAACCAAATAAATAAATAAGTATGGGAGAGAGGTGGTTATTTATATTATGAAAGTATTATTCAGTTTAATTCATTGAAGAATCTAAGATCCTTCCCTCCACAGTGTTAAAATCCATAGTCCTCTCAATTACTCTTCCACACTTTGAGGAAAAGGAAGAGAGGGAAGAGAGATCTCCAATAGAAATTTCCTTGTTAATAACATCTTATGTTTCTTTAAATGTTTTAGAGTTTCAAAGCACTTTCAGGCTCACTCTGGTATCTCTGTTAAGCCTTGTGCAAGATGCCATAAATCATACTATACTCATCTAAGAGGTGAGAAAAGCCGTGGATTAGAGGTGAAGCAAATGTAAATAGTAGTAATTAGTAATATATATATATATATATATATATATATATATATGTGTGTGTGTATATATATATATATGTGTGTATATATATATATATATATATATGGAGTAATTGGTACATGTGAGACCTGAAGCCAAGATTTTTTTGTTGTTTTGTTTTGTTTTGAGATGGAGTCTCACTCTATCGCTAGGCTGGAGTGCAGTGTCTCAGCTCACTGCAACCTCCAGCCCCTGGGTTCAAGCCATTCTTCTGCCTCAGCCTTTCAAGTAGCTAGGACTACTGCTGTGCGCCACCATGTCCAGCTAATTTTTGTATTTTTAGTAGACACAGGGTTTCACAATGTTGGCCGGGACGGACTTGATCTCTTGACCTCATGATTCGCCCACCTTGGCCTCCCAAAGTGCTGGGATTACAGGCATGAGCCACTGCTCCCTGCTGAAGCCAAGATTTTTAAACCAGGTCCAGTGGCCAGGAAGCTGAAGCAAGTGGCTCATACTCACTGCCTTGGTGGGGCTGTTTTCTTCCCTTCTGTGATTTCATTCCAAGCATCTTCCCTTTTTCTTCTCAGTTAATTCTGATTCATGCATTCCCTCATGTAATTAATAAATGGGAAAGACTTGAGTGAACAAATATTCAGCCAACTTGAATTTATTGAGCAAACTAGAAGCCAAATCTTTGAAGGGTTTTAAAGAGAGGAAATAGAATCTCTTGTAATTTATAAAGACCATAGTAAGGCCGGTGTGGTGGCTCATGTCTATAATTCCAGAACTTTGGGAAGCTGAGAGGGCAGGTAGCCTCTCGAGACCAGTCTGGGCAACATGGTGAAACCCCATCTCTACTAAAAAATCCATTCATTAGCCAGGGATGGTGACATGCACCTGTGGTGGCTCCAACTACTTGGGAGGCTAAGGAAGGAGAATCCCTTGAGCCCGGGTGGTGGAGGTTGCAGTGAGCTGAGACAGCACCATTGCACTCCAGACTGTGCAACTGAGACACGATTAATAACTTTATTAATGTGAACCAATTATCCAGAAATAATAATCACATATTAGCCATAGTAGAGTTCCTAGCTAGATGTGTTCTGCCTATGTTTGTAAATCCTGGACATTGTTAAATTTCAAATGCCTTCAATAAGAAATCAATGGCTTAGAAAACATCTCTGCAGAGTCTTGATAAAATTTCTAATTGTGGTGAAGCTGCATTCCTTAAGTCATTTATTCAACACTAACTCATTTTACAAACTTACATCTGCTGGGCTCTGGGAGTAAGAAGATGAGTTAGATGCAGCAGTCCCAAATCTAAAGGAGGTTGGAGACTAGAAAGGAAAGACCAGTGCCTACTCTGAGCTCTCCAATGGTCCCCAGCCCCCTCTGCCAAAGGCGAAACCAGCTTCCCTTTGCTCTGCAGCCACACTGGCCTTTTCTTTCATTTCTGAGAACTCACCTCACTCCCTCCTACTCTGGGCTCTGCAGAAATCCCAGTTCCCTTTGCCTTGAAAGCTCTTGGTGAATTTAGCTCCACTTCCTTCAGCCCTCAGCTCCTGCCTTGCTGCCCCAAGAACCTTTTTCTGACTGCGGATCTGGTCAAATCTGTCTGAAACCCTCTACTATCTTAGACCCCATTACATTGGTAGATTTACATGTACACGTGTGATCATTTAATATTTGATGGTTTGTTCTCAGGTGCCTACACTCCTGGAGAGACAGGGGATGGCTGGTTTTGTTAGATGCCAGTGCCTGGCATACAACAGATCCTCCAGGGGTGAAAAACCAACCAATCAAGTCAGGACCCAAGCAACCTGGACCTCTGTGGAAGGCGTGGATGGCCTAGGTTTGGGTTTCTCTCGTGGTACCTTAAGACCAGGCCTCCTGGCTCATATCTTAGCCCTTCTAACACTCTGAAGTGTAGAGGTTGTCTGTTCCAAGTCCTGAAGGGACTGTAAGCTCCAGATAGCACAGCATCCAGCTGTGCTGTTACTTAGCATGAGATCCACATGAAAACCGCTTCGCAACTATTAGCCATTGCCAGTATTAATAAATACTTTCCGGAAGGTGGGACAAAGTGGAGATGTTATAGACAGCTTCAAAGAAATGTTTAAACTTGAGTTGACTCTTTGAAAAATACAAGCTATGCCCAACCAAAGATTAAAAATCCAAATACAAAAAAAAAAAAAGGAAATTTGCCTACTCCTCATTTGTGAAAACAAAGAAAAAACACACACACAACGTCTTAACCTTTCTAGGCCTTCACTCTCGTCTCTCCCTGCGCTACACGGGCGAATTTTGGACGTATGTACACAGTCACCGCGGAGTCTCTACAATCGCTGCAACGTCTCCTGGCTTTTCCTGACCAGGGTGCAACTTTGGTGAGGATGTATGTAGTTACATCCCCTGTAGTGGAGCTGGTATTTAGGGTCCTTATTGGCAAAGTCGAGGGTATATGCAGGGAGGGAGGGAGGGGACCTTGGCTTCTTTCCATTCACCGGCCTGTTTCCGGGACACAGTCATCCCACACTGGCTCGAGCGCCAGACCCGAGGCCTCGCAGAACTCGAGCCCTGGAGAGCGCGCGGCCCCGCCCACGGGGCGGTGGAGGCCCCGCCTCTGCCTTCCCCGCCAGCCCCGTCGCAACGGTCTCGGCACGCAGGCGCGGTGGCGCGCGTGGGGGGGCGGGGGCGGGGCGCGTGCGGGTTCAACTTAAATACGAGCCGAGGGGGGCGGCGCGCGGCCGCCGCGGCGCTGCTGCTCACTGAGAGTGGGTCTTCCTAACTGTCTCCGCGTGGCGCCAGCCTCGAGCCGCCCTTCCCCTGGCGGCTGCGGCCGGAGGGATCGGAGGCGAGCGGGAGGCGAGCTCCATGGAGAGCGGCGGACGCCCCTGCAGAGGCGGCGCCTTCATCTCGGCACCTGGGCTCCAGTGACCCGCGCTCGCGCCCCGTCCCGCCCGCGTCAGTGCAGCCGCCCGCCCCGGGACCGACCGGCCTCGCCGCGCCTCCCGCACCCACCAGCGCGCCCGGCTCCCCTGCGCCCGACTCACCCTCGCCCCCAATTCCCGGCGGGGTGGCGGCGCCCGGGTCCTCGCGGCGGCGGCTGGAGCAGCAGCGGCAGCAGGAGCCCGCCTCTATGATGAAGTTCAAGCCCAACCAGACGCGGACCTACGACCGCGAGGGCTTCAAGAAGCGGGCGGCGTGCCTGTGCTTCCGGAGCGAGCAGGAGGACGAGGTAGGGCGCCCGGCGCGCACGCTGCCCTCCGGGGCGCCGGGTCCGGGGCCCGGGTCCTTCCCTCCCGGGGTCCCCGCCCGGGCGCGGGCTGCGGGGCTGGGAGGGATTAGCCCCCTTCCGCCCTCCCTCCCTCGCTCCTTCTTTCCTTTCTCTGGGCTGATAGAGGAGACAAAGGGGCTCGCCCAGCCCCACGTTCTCCATCTGGGCACGCGAGAAGGCGCCTGGCCCCTGGGAAGGTCCCGGGCTGTGTAAGTCTCGCCTAGCGGGAGTCACCATCTTAACGTGCGAATTGAGTTGAAAGCCGGATAAACCTCGAGTGCTCAGCTAGAGGAGGGTGGAAATGGCGTGAGTGTTGCAGCAGAGCCCTCGTGCCTCTTTTACATACTTTCCTTCCATGTCACAGGAAGGAAACGGATTTTCCCCTACAGAATGCGGGACTTGCGGTCTCGGATTCGATCGAAGCATGTTTGTGAAGTAGCAGACAGTCCTCGTGCTTCGAAATGATGACCCCTTAGTCTAGTCTTGGCAATTCTTGGGGGTCCATGAACCCGCCAGCTGTTGGCATAATTATGCTTCATTTTAAAAACGCCCTCCCCTTCTTAGAGTTTTCGGACTGCAGAATGATGGTTAGTGAAAAATGTGGAATGCCAGACGGGAGACGATGGACTAGAGATGGGTAAAGCTGCCATTTTCAGACAGTAATCTCCAGCTCTCAACTTGTGTGTAAAGGCTTCTTTACTTGGCTGTTTGGCTTGACATCTGGAAAGGAGCAGCCTTTCTCGTTGTAAGAGCAGTCCTTCTTGTGTAATTTACCAATCTGCATTGGGCTGAGAATGAGACCCTTGGGATTTCCCTGGAGAGCGATTTTTACTTATTTCAGTGATATTTATTTAAAATGGCTCACTGTTTAAGTTTGCTTAGGGCAATAGTAGCCTTTTAGTGTTGCCATTCTTGAGATAATTACACAGGGAAAAAAATTAACATTCTTGAGTTCCGTAACCAACCGTGTATAAAATACTAGGCTAAAGCTGGAGATGGGAGTTTAATGGCTTCCTTACTGCTAGTCCCTGTAGTTGTGATGAGTATGATATACACTCAATGGCTTAGTTCTTGAAAAATGTTAACAAAAAGTGCTCGAAATTTGCTCTTTAAACCCTTGTTTTGCCTTTATTTTTTTTTGAAAAGAAACCAAGCCCTTTAGATGGTTTGCTCTGTGCTCACTCATGGCCTTTATGTGTTAGACCTGAATCCCAAAGGAGGGCCCAGAGAAACATGGTCCCAGCCTTCGAGATGGGTCTGCTTAGGAGAGCTAGAAACTGCAAAGGGAAAGGTTATTAACTTTTACCTAATGAACAAGGCAACAAGATTAAGTGTGTTCTGTAAAAATAAAGATAAAGCCTTAGCCGAAAGGCCATGTTGAGGCAAAGTAGTAAACTTGAAATATAAAAGAAATGATAGCCAGAAGGAATCAAGATAGGTCAAGGGTCTTGTCTGGCGTCCTCAGCATTGTATAATGATATTCTTAATTGAGTGCTTACAATGTGCCAGGCACTGCCAGGAGAAAATTTTATACTTTTACTTCTTTTAACACTGGGAGGTAGCAAGGTTATTCCCATTTTGTAGGTGAGAAGATAGTTGCAGTGTGTAAGTACTTGCCCAAATGACACAATTAAGAAGTGGTAGAGTCAGGATTCAGGGTCCAGTCCGTACTCCTGGTGGTGAGCTCTGTTTGTTGAATGAGTGAGATTTTTGTGAGGCTAAGTTTGGAAGTTTTTCTGAAAGTGGCAACTGAAGTATTGCCATCATGTAAACTTGGAATTCAGGCTTTGTAAAAATACTGGACTGTAGGGGAAAATATGAGTGATAGAAGGAAATTGAAATGATGATCTGTATTGTGCTTATGGTAGAGCAAAGTCTGATAGAAGCTTTAGGAACTACTTGAGCAATAAAAATAAATGATTATTTTTATGCTTGGATGTTGTTTCTACTGTAATAAATGCTGAATTCACAGCCTCTGTGTCATTAGGTAAGGTGAAGTAGGGAGCAAGTTTCGGAGAATATATTAGAGAAATCCATTGTGAAAAACTTTGTAAATCTGATCACCTGTAGTTGAGAATCGAAGTGAGTTATCCTATTAGAGGATATGATCTGAGGGAAGACTCTAGAATTCTCTTAAGTGAAATGCACAGCCAACTTTAACATCTGGTTTAGCTCTTCAGAATCTTCATTTCTGTGGTTGTGTGGTTCTTTCTGTTACATGATGACTATGGAATAAACTCTATTAGCTTTCCTGGACATCCTACTGCTTCTCTATGAATTTGTCTTCACTGTGTTGAAATTGCATTGCCAGACTTCCAAGGACAGGCTAGAAAACCAGCTTGAACCCACCTCTCTAGTTAATAGGTGAGAAATGTTTCCCTCTACTGGATGAAGAACACCTAGATCCTGGTTAGAAGATTTAAATATATGTTTTGTTTGAAGATGAAATGTTTATATAGAGTACAAATGGACATAGAAGAGTAACTGCAGTTTGACCCCAAAAAAGCTATGTGGCGCTCCCATCTGGCTGTTCTTGCACTGAAGTTCTCAGTAAGTCCCTACTTTAGAACAGATTGTTCTAGGAAAGAAGGTTCTAAGAGCAGAGAGAGCAGTTATTCTTTTAAGGTGGCTTTATATAGTAAATATTTCCCATTTTATCCTTTTCTGCTCTGTAGGGTAAATAAGTATTAGCATTTGTATAGGAAGAAATTAGGTAGCAGAAGTAACCTATTCCAAGGTCACAGAAGCTGGCAGATCCTTTCGAGCTCAGATCCTTTGTTTCTAAATGTTTTGTTTATTTGACCTACCTCCCCAGTTAGTTATTCCTGTGGGGAAGCATTCTCAGTTTCGACAGCTGGGCTTGTAGACAGGCCCACAACTAATTCCCCTGTAGAGTAGCTGGTTACTGTGCTTATGTAGTAAAAGATGACAGTGTTTTTACAAGTAGGTAATCAGAATGGATTCTTTTGAATGTATTTGCATATATGATAGTTTGAACAGGGGATGAAGAGATGCAGTCTCAGCTCCTAAGAAACATTCTGTAGGGGAAGATTGGACAAGTGATCGATGGAAAGGGAAATAAAGTAAGTGAAAAGTGTGGTCAAGTGTTCTGGAATTAAGATCTACTGTGAGTCATTTGGAGTTGGATTTGGATGACTGGGAAAGGAGGGACCAGGCATCCCAAATAGAGCAAGACTTGGGGCTGTGGTAGATTTGGCTGCAGCTTAGGGATAGCATAAGCATAGAATAAGTAATGGTAATAGAAAAATATGCAACACTTCAAATGCAAGGTTGAGAAGTTGCAATGCAAGAAAGAAACTCTGAACAAAGAATATTTAGATTTTAGATGTATTCAAGCTTGAGAGTGATCTGGCAGCAAAATGGGATAGACTGCTAAGGGGAGAAGTAGAATGACTCTGTCCTGGGTGGAATCCAGACATAGATGCAAGAGGGGCATTCACAGATCAGTCTTAAGAACTGACCACTACAGGCCGGGCACAGTGGCTAATGCCTGTAATCCCAGCACTTTGGGAGGTCGAGGCGGGTGGATCACCTAAGGTCAAGTGTTTGAGACCAGCCTGGCCAACCTGGCAAAACCCCGTCTCTACTAAAAATACAAAGTAGAAAAACTAGCCAGGCGTGGTGGCGTATGCCTGTAATCCCAGCTACTCAGAAGGCTGAGGGATGAGAACTGCTTGAACCTGGGAGGCAGAGGTTGCAGCGAGGTGAGATCATGCCATTGTACTCCAGCCTGGCCAGCAGAGCAAGACCCTGTTTCCCAAAAAGATCCTAACCACTACTCTTCCACAGGACTTGCCGCTGCCCTAATTAGCTTTTAAACTCTATGAGCCAGGGGCTGTCTTCTACAGATGGTCTGTTCTAATGCTGTATATATACTCCTGAAAAGTCTTGAGTTGTACAAAATCATGCAGTGAAGTAAAGCTTTGCTGGGAACGTTGAATCTCAAAACCTAAAACCAGAACTCTGATGAACACCGATACTAATAGGAAATATTACTCCAGTTAAATCTTCACTAGCATTTTTATACTTAGAATCAACAGTCAGTCCACCCTTTTCATACATATACTCTGGGGCTCAGAGTTAAGTCCTTGAAGGTATTTGTTTGAAATGGAGACCACTTTCATCAAGTTAAGTACTAGCAAAGGTAGCCTTTTTTGAACATAGGGAAGTGTCACCAACCTCTTCATCTGTGCCTCCAGCTCTCCCAGACCTAAAGAAGGGCTTCCTCAAGTCATTAAACTGGGCACTAATGTAGAATTTGCATTGGATTTTTTTTTTTCTTAGTCTTGGTAGAGCTCAAGCATTTCTTTAATTGAAAAAAGGCTTATTCCCCTCACTTTAAAACACTGACCTGCTTGCTAAAAATGTCATGGTCAACCTGACATTATTGATAATACTTATCTGCCAATCCCATGTAAGTTAGAGCTAAACATAGTTTAGCAAAAGGAAGTGTTATTTCTGGTCTGCTGTGCCTCTGTAGTCTAAAAAGTAGTACTAATTTGCTTAATAATAGTAGGTAGCTGTTTCACATGTATCAAAACATTTTCATAACCTATGTTCTTTTAAAATGTCTATGTTTATGCATAGTGGGTGTTCCTAATAATGCTGCTGGCCTAATTCTGGCTGAATTTCTATGAAACAGTTAAGCATAATAGAAGTAGGTTAACATGTAGTTTCAACCATTCATGATGTCCTGATTCATGATAATTTGGGAAGAAGGAACAGCATCCTCAAAACAGTTTCTAAATAGGCCAGGTGCAGTGGCTCACACCTGTAATCCCAGCACTTTGGGAGGCCAAGGCGGGTGGATCACCTGAAGTCAGGGGTTCAAGACCAGCCTGGGCAACATGGCGAAACCCCATCTCTACTAAAAATACAAAAATTAGCCAGGTGTGGCGGTGCACGCCTGTGGTCCCAGCTATTCTGGTGGGTGAGGCAGGAGAATTGGAGGTGGAGGTTGCAGTGAGCTGAAATTGTGCCACTGCACTCCAGCTTGGGCGACAGAGCAGGACTCCGTCTCAAAAACAACAACAAACAGTTTCTAAATTGCTACAATTTTCAGAATAAAACTCTTCAGTCGTACGGATCACTTGAGGTTCTCTGAATTCCTCCTCTCCTCCTCTGCCGTAGAACAGAAGTGGTATCTGTAGTGGTCGGAGTTCCTAGAGCCAAGCCATGACAAAGCAGCTTTAATGGTAAAAGCTGAAATGCAAATGGGAATTCAGGGCCCAGGGACATACAGCTTCTGAAGGCATAACTGCATCACATAATCCTTGAGCAGCATTTTTTGGTTATCACCCTCTTTTACATACCCAGTGAAGAGGGCCTGTTGGGTAATAAAGGGAATAGCTTCTATACAATAAATCAGGGGTGCCCAATCTTCTAGCTTCACTGGGCCTCACTGGAAAAATTGTCTTGGGCCATACATAAAATACACTAACATTAATGATAGCTGATGAGCTAAAAAAGTAATAATTGCAAAAATATTACATAATGTTTTAAGGAAGTTTACAAATTTGTGTTTGGCTACATTCCGAGCTGTCCTGGGCTGCATGCAGTCCACGGGCCACAGATTAGGCAAGCTTGTGATAGATCATTCTAATTCACAGACAAACTTTTATCCAATAAGATTTAGGGCTGGTTCCATGTTGACTCCTGTCAATACGCTATTTTTTTTTTAAGAGTCTCACTCTGTCGCCCAGGCTGGAGTACAGTGGTGACCTCGGTTGACTGCAACCTCCGCCTCCCAGGTTCTACAGATTCTCCTGCCTCAGCCTTTCAAGTACCTGGGATTACAGGTACACACCACCACGCCCAGCTAATTTTTGTATTTTTAGTAGAAACGGGGGTCTCACCATGTTGACCAAGCTGGCCTCGAACTCCTGACCTCAGGTGATCCATCCATCTCAGCCTACCAAAGTGCTGGGATTACAGGTGTCAGCCACTGCACCTGGCCAATACACTATTTTTAAAGTGATGAATGCTTCTCTCCAAATGCCTAAAACCTTAGGTATCTAGAAAAAGAGAAAATAACTCTTCAACAGTGCTGGGTGAGTGGTGTTTTATTCTGGTAATTGTCTAATACATGGAAAGAGGGAGTAAGACTCAGTAGTGTAGTAGGAAGAATGCTTAGGTGAAGGCAGGTTGAATAGAGTAGGAAGAGAGTCTTCACTTTTCACCAAACTAATAGCGTTGGCTTTGGGGTCTGAGTGTGCTCCAAGTCTGGCTCTGCGATCTGGTGGAATGAGTAGCCTCCTTTTCATAAATCTTTCCTATGGTCTCTGATTTTTCTGGAAGGCTGGAATTCTTCCATTTCTGTCATCACTAATGTAACAGACTGGCATATTGATGGATACAGAAAATCTAATATACTCAGAGAAAGGAATCTTAAACCTGTGAATGACCACTATGGCTCTGTCGGTTGTTGGTGTGTCTTTGTGGAATGAACTTTTATAACCCATCTTTAGAGCATTAGTTAGCATGCTAACTATACTAGTAGATTTGGGGGTGTTATCAAAATGTATTGATGGCTGTTGTGTGCTTTTAGAGGGAGTATTGAATAGTAATGCGCTGTGATAGGGTTCTAGAGATTTAGATTCTTCCACTGTTTGTAGGAGGGGCTTAGGAGCAGCTGCCCATTATTTGAAATCAATGTTATTGCAAGAAAAGCAACCATTATGTTTATGTTGCTATGACTCTGTAAATGGCTTCCCCAAAAAAAACCTTTACAATAAATTGTGCTGAAATTTGATTTTAGATTTCTGCATGTATAGAAGATTTTATGTGTATATATACATATATATGTGTGTGTGTATATATATATATATACACACACACATATACACACACACACACACACACACACACACACATATATATATATATATATTTTTTTTTTGAGATGGAGTTTCACTCTTGTTGCCCAGGCTGGAGCGCCATGGCATGATCTTGACTCACTGCAACCTCTGCCTCCTGGGCTCAAGTGATCCTCCTGCCTCAGCCTCCCAAGTAGCTGGGATCACAGGTGCACACCACTACACCCAGCTAATTTTATATTTTTAGTAGAGACGGAGTTCTCCATGTTGGTCGGGCTGGTCTCGAACTCCTGACCTCAGGTGATCCACCCACCTTGGTTTCCCAAAGTGCTGGGATTACAGGCATGAGCCACCTTGCTCTGCCTTTTTTTTTTTTTCTTTTTGAGATAGAATCTCACTCAAAATGGAGTGCAGTGGCAAAATCATGGCTCACTGCAGCCTCGACTTCCCAGGTTCAGGTGATTCTCCCACCTCAGCCTCCTGAGTAGTTTGGACTACAGGCACATGCTACCATGCCTAGCTAGCTAATTTATTTTTTTTTTTTAATTTTTATTTTTTTGTAGAGACAGGGTCACCCTGTGTTGTCTAGGCTGGTCTTGAACTCCTGGACTCAATCTGCCTGCCTTGGCTTCCCCAAGCACTGGGATTACAGGTGTCAGCCATTGTGCCTGGCCTATAGAAGATATTAATAGTTCAGGCTTGGTGCAGTGGCTCACATCTGTAATCTTAGCACTTTGGGAGGCTGAGGTGGGTGGATCATTTGAGGTCAGGAGTTCAAAACCAGCCTGGCCAACATGGTGAAACCCTGTTTCTACTAAAAATACAAAAAGATGGGCTGAACGTGGTGGGGCGCACCTGTAATTCCAGCTACTCAGGAGGCTGAGGCATGAGAATTGCTTGAACCCAGGCTGCAAAGGTTTCATTGAGTCGAGATCACACCCATTGCACTCCAACCTGGGTGACAGAGTGAGACCCTGTCTTGGGGGGGGGGGGAACGAAGCTATTAATAGTTTAATTTTCTCACAGTTTTAGTAGAAAAGACATAATGAAGCTGAAAAATGTAAGTATATAACTAGTAAAAACTCTGACTGCTGAGAACCAGTATCTCAAATTTATGTAAGAAACAAAATTTCCATAATTGGCTACACTAGATACTTTCATCAGTCTCAAAAAAAATTTTGTGGAACACTTAAAATTTGTATTAACAGATTCATCAAATCTTTTGTCTAGGTTCAAAAACTCTTCTTGGATAATGAAAGTATTCCTTCTTAGGTGGGTGGGGTGGCTCAAGCCTGTAATCCCAGCACTTTTGGAGGCCGAGGCTGGCAGATCACCAGAGGGCAGGAGTTGGAAACCAGCCTGACCAACATGGCAAAACCCCATCTCTACTAAAAATACAAAATTAGCCAGGTGTGGTAGTGCATGCCTGTAATCCCTGTAAGCCCAGGTACTAGGGAGGCTGAGGCAGGAGAATCGCTTGAACCCAGGAGGCAGAGGTTGCAATGAGCCAAGATTGCACCACCGCACTCCAGCGTGGGCAACAAGAGCAAAACTCTGTCTCCAAAAAAAAGAAAAAAGTACAGCTAGTGCTCGACTTACGACCACGATTGGTTCCGACAGACCGGTCATAACACGATTTGGTCGTAAGTTGAGTAGGCTATATGCACGCGGAGATGGTAGTGCTGCTGGAAGCTGGTCCGCACTGTCGTATGCCCAGCTGGGCAACGTTTGCGCTGCCAGAAGCGGAGCAGTCGTGGCTAGCGATTGTGGTCGTAAAGTCGAATGGTCGTAAGTTGCATAGGTTGTAAGTCGATCAATACCTGTATACCTTCTTATTAATTTTGGCCTCTGAAAATAATACTGAATGGACTCTGATTGTTTTTTATTATTATTCTGAGACAGAGTCTCACTGTATTGCCCAGGCTGGAGTGCAGTGGTACAATCTCAGCTCACTGCAACCTTCACCTCCTGGATTCAAGCAGTTCTCCTGCCTCAGCCTTCTGAGCAGCTGGGATTACAGGCATGCACCACCATGCCTAGCTAATTTTTGTATTTTTAGTAGAGAACGGGGTTTTACCATGTTGGCCAGGCTAGTCTCGAACTCCTGACCTCAAGTGATCTCCCACCTTAGCCTCCCAAAGTGCTGGGACTACAAGTGTGAGCCACTGCACCCAGCTGGACTCTTGATTGTTTTATTTGCATGCTCTTTATAAAACTGTTTTTTCAAGCTCAATTACTTTAGTCTTTCTATAAAAATGTAGTCCAGAAAAATCTACTTTGATGATTTTCATCAACAGATTCCAAGTGACTTCAACAGAAAAGCTGTAATTCTTGAGTTCTTGAGAGTTCTGGAGTGACAACGTGCCACTACGATGCAACTCCCCACCATCACCCCCAATTTTTCTTTTACAATCCCAGGCTTTTTAACTTGGTGAAATGTTGTTCTGGAAACAGAAATGGTCATATAGCACTGAACAATAGAGCAGGTGCGGGGGATCTTAGGAAACACTGGGTTTTCATCTTAATCTCAACCCCCTGCCTAAAAACAGTTGTTAGTGTCCTCTGTTGTTGGCCTAATTAAAATATAAACATGCTCCAGTGTGGTGCCAACATTTTTTCATCTGTAGTGGTCTAGATCTAGTGCTGGGGACTGCTTCCAAGTGCATGACAGACCCCAGGTAATCACAGGATGGCCTTGCTTAAGTTGACCTTAGGTTAAAAACCTGTTCACTCACTACTATTGGGGTGGGGAGCAGGAAGGGGACTGTTTTAACTGTCCTTCTCTCTGCTAATGCTGTTCATATTTTTCCACCCTGTCAGACATATGCCATCGTCCAGTCTGTTCTCTTGTCTGGAGTGTATCGCTCAGTTCTTGCTCACTTTTAGTTACTGCCTTCTCCCCACCGTCATCCCCCAAATGTGGTCTTGCCCTCATTTGAACTCCCAAATGAACTATTCAAGATGAGTAGGCAGGTACTTAATGAAACATTGACTTTCAAGTCTGTCACCATCACATCTGTATGAGACCTCTTTTCATAAACTAGTTGTTTAGATGGCCAGTCATTTCTGTGCCACAGATACTAAGTACTCATTTAAAGTGATCATTTTATGAAAAGATATTTGAAGTTAATGGTTTGACTGAATTTAGTCTTTCTGGGTTGTTAAGGGACTCTTGGATGATAAATTGTTGGATTAGGCTAAATAGTTTGTCCAAAATTTGTATTGATATAGATTTATATAGATGTATGTGTTCTTGCAGTTTTTAGCCACAAAATATTGAGCATGCTATGTGACTTGACTTTAACCCTACCGCAAAGAATATAAGCTCTTTGAAAGATGTGTATTCAGTATCTTTTCATCAGTGTATATTTATCATCAGATGTATATTCATTATCTTTTCAATGCATACAATTCCTGTTCAATATCACACAATTAGTAGATAAAGAACAAAATCAGCAACTTCTTTCTCCACAGTGCTTCTCCTTAAGGTGGAGAGCTTGTGCTGAATTGTTACCTTTTGACAGGAGTCAGTCTGTTCTCTCTCCTAGAGACTGAAGATGGTAATAAAGTGAATGGATTTAGTCTCGATACCATGTGCATGATGCTTCTTGCCTGCTAGCCCATTTTCCTGATTTGGATTTTCTTTTGAAAAGCGTTTTAAGGCCAGGCGCGGTGGCTCAAGCCTGTAATCCCAGCACTTTGGGAGGCCGAGGCGGGTAGATCACGAGGTCAAGAGATCGAGACCATCCTGGTCAACATGGTGAAACCCCGTCTCTACTAAAAATACAAAAAACATTAGCTGGGCATGGTGGCTCGTGCCTGTAATCCCAGCTACTTAGGAGGCTGAGGCAGGAGAATTGCCTGAACCCAGGAGGCAGAGGTTGCGGTGAGCCGAGATCGCGCCATTGCACTCCAGCCTGGGTAACAAGAGCGAAACTCCGTCTCAAAAAAAAAAAAAAAAGAAAAGCGTTTTAAAGTGGTAAGGTTTGGCATGAAAATTAAAAATGGATAAATAACTAACAATTACATATTTTACCTGGTCTGAAAAGATATACCATTAATTGGCTGTAGATGTCTAATACGTGGCCCTTGGGATGAGTACTTGAAATATGACTGGACTAAGAAATTGAATTTTACATTTTATTTAACCTTAAAAAGCCATATGATGCTAGTGGCGACTGTTAGATAATGCAGCTTTAGAGCTTCAAAAGCATGAAAAGTTCAAAAGTAGCAGAGTTTAGGATAGACTGGAAGTAATTGGCAGATCAAGGGCAGTTATATCTGCAGGTTTGTCAATTTAGTTGAGTAGACAAGTGCTTAATGAAACATCCTAGATTTCAAAACTACCATCACCAAAAGTTGGATATTAGCAAATCTGCCTTAAGCTAGTAGTTTAGATGTGAATCATTTCTGGACCATCGATAATTACTTATTTAAACTGATCGTTTTGTTTGGTTTGGTTTTTTTGTTCTTTCGAAAGATCTGTTTGGTTGAGCTTAGTGGCTCATGCCTGGAATCCCAGTACTTTGGGAGGCCAAGGTGGTTGGATCACCTGAGGTCAAGAGTTCAAGACCAGCATGACCAACATGGAGAAACCTTGTCTCTACTAAAAATACAAAAATTATCCAGGCATGGTGGTATGCACCTGTAATCCCAGTTATTTAGGAGGCGGAAGCAGGTGAATTGCTTGAAACCTGGGAGGCGGAGGTTGCGGTGAGCCAAGATTGTGCCATTTCACTCCAGCCTGGAAAAAAAAAATACACTTGCAGTTAATGGTTTGATCAAATATTTTCTTTTTGGAATATCAAGGGATTCTTGCACCATAAATTCATGGATTATGCTAAATCACTTGTCAAATTTATATACTCTTTTCATGAGGCTTTCTAAAAAGTGATTTATGAGAGATGTTGAGACACAAGGGTTCCATGTTACTGACTTTTGGAAGAAAAGTTTAATCATGCTGGTGTCTTGTAGATGCAGGTTTGCTTTTAAATCTGAAGCATGGGCTGAGCATGGTGGCTCACATCTGTAATCCCAACACTTTGGGAGGCCGAGCCGGGTAGATGTCAGGAGCTCAAGGCCAGCCTGGTCAAGATGGTGAAACCCCATCTCTACTAAAAGTACAAAAATTAGTCGGGGGTTGTGGTGGGTGCCTATAATCCCAGCTACTCGGGAGGCTGAGGCAGAGAATTGCATGAACTCAGGAGGTGGAGGTTGCAGTGAGCAGAGATTGCGCCAGTACACTCCAGCCTGGGTGACAGAGCGAAACTCTGTCCTAAAAAAAAATCTGAAGCATAAAATATTTATTCAGAAAAGCAGACACAGCTCACACTAATGGGTTTTCAACATTCTTAATCTCCTATAATTTAGCTCTGTTTTGGAGAACTGGAAACATCATAGTCATTGACCTAGATACATGAGACTTTGCATTTATTTATTCGGGACTGCAACATTTTGAATATGGATGATTTTGAAACTCCCTATTTACTAAGTGATGATATACTTTTCAGGTGGCTAGCCACCTGCATTATGTCCCATTATTAAGTTAATCCAGGAAGTTGCTTAGAGAGCATAGAATTGTGTAACAAGAATTTCATCTAAGCTATAGAAACCAGTTTATCCCTAACCCATACCTAGTGACCGGTAAAAGAGGCCTCTGACTCTGCAGTCTGGACCAATAGTTGCAGTTTACTTTTCTAGTGATGCAAGACAAACCATTAACATTTTTATTGAAATTAAAAACTTCCATTCACTTGCCAGTCTTGATAGAGGGTCAATGCCTTTGATTGCCATAGATCCTCAGTACGCCTCCAATTTTGAATAAAATACAAAGATTTTGGAATCTGATTTGTAGTTTCTCTATTAAAGTAGACTTTGAACTTAGAGACCCTTGCATGCTCTTTTGCATTTTTAATTTTCCTTTTCTAATTTTCTATAATAGTCTCATCTGCATGTAATTTGGTAATCTATTAGCCCACTTTTTTTTTTTTTTTTTTTAAGACAGTCTTACTGTGTTGCCCAGGCTGGAGTGCGGTGGTGTGATCACAGGTCACTGCAGCCTTGACCTCCTGGGCTCAGGTGATCCTTCCCACCACAGTCTCCTGAGTAGCTAGGAATACAGGCACAAGTCACCATGCATGGTTAATTTTTGTGTTTTTTGCAGAGGGGGTTTTGCCATGTTGCCTAGGCTGGATGGCCTCAAACTCCTTAGTTCAAGCAATCTGCCCATCTTGGCCACACAAAGTGCTGGGATTATAGGCGTGAGCCACCATGCCCGGCCTGGAGTGCTGCTTTTCTAATGAGGAGGTTCTATGCCTAAATAGATATTCTCTTTAAACTCCGCATTTTGGGGGCTTGAGAGAAACGTGGGAATTGCTAAACTATCGTCAGCTTGAAACTTTCCAGTTAGGAAGAGTTGAGTTCCTGGCAACTTATGGCAAATAGGAGAGGACTCCTGTGCTGGCTGTGAACTCTTAAAGACCAGCCGCTCCTGCCAGCTGGGAGGGAGCAGGGCAGATAAGGGTGCTGGCGTGCGTTAAAAAAAAGGTCATGGCTCTTGCCTGGGTGACAGGGCGAAACTTCATCTCAAAAAAACAGCAACAACAAAAAGTACAAAAATTAGCCAGGCATGGTAGTGGGTGCCTATAGTCCCAGCTGCTTGGGAAGCTGGAGTGAGAGGATCACTTGAGCCCGGAAAGTGAAATCTGCAGTCAGCAGAGATTGTACCATTGCACTCCAACCTGGATGTCCAAGTGAGACCCTTTCTCAATCATGATGATGATGATGATCATCATCATCATCTCTTTCCGCACTGGGAATTAAACTTCATGATAAATCCTATGTGTTTTCCAGGGAGAACTGTTTAAATTTCCTTGAAGGCATGTCAGGCGCGGTGGCTCACGCCTGTAATCCCAGCACTTTGGGAGGCCAAGGTGGGCAGATCACCTGAGGTCAGGAGTTCGAGACCAGCCTGGCCAACATAAAGAAACCCCATCTCTAAAAAAAAAAAAAAAAATTCCTTGAAAGCAGTATACTAAGTTAATTTTGTGGACATTTTTGTTCAAATTGGTTTATTTTTATTTTTTATATTTTTGAGCCACTCTGTAACCCAGGTTGGAGTGCGGTGGCACAATCTTGGCTCACTGCAGTCTTCATGTCCTGAGTTCAAGTGATTCTCATGCCTCAGCCTCCTGAGTAACTGGGACTACAGGAATGTGCCACTACACCCAGCTGATTGTTGTATTTTTAGTAGAGATGGGGTTTCACCATATTGGCCAGGCTGGTCTTGAACCCCTGTCCTACATCCGCCCGCTTCATCCTCCCAAAATGCTGGGATTATAGGTGTGAGCCACCACACCCATCTCAAGCTGATTTTAACTTAATGAAGTTCAACCTAAGCTAGCCCACAGGTTTGTTTTTTTTGTGTGTGTGTTTTTTCGTTTTTTGGTTTGTTTTTTCTGAGATAGAGTCTAGCTTTGTTGCCCAGACTGGAGCGTAGTGGCACAATCTCAGCTCACTGCAACCTCTGCCTCCCAGGTTCAAGTGATTCTCCTGCCTCAGCCTCCTGAGTAGCTGGGATTACTGGTGCCCGCCACCATACCCAGCTAATTTTCTGTATTTTTAGTAGAGATGGGGTTTCACCATGTTAGCCAGGCTGTTCTCAAACTTCTGACCTCAGGTGATCTGCCCACTTCAGCCTCCCAAAGTGCTGGGATTACAGGTGTGAGCCATCTCGCCTGGCCACATTTCAGTCTTAATACTGTTCTTGGTCAGGGGTCCATAGACTTTTCCAAATTAAGGGCCAAATAAACATTTTAAGTTTTGAGGACCACACAGTCTCTGTCACAACTTTGACTCTGCTGTTGATTCACTGAAGCAACCATAGACAACATGTAAAAATGAGTAAGTGTGACTAGATTCTAATAATTTCATCTGTGAATACTGAAATTTGAATTTCACATAATTTTAAAATGTGAAAATATTTTTGGCTCACAGACTTTCTAAAAACAGGTGGTGGGCTGCAGATTGCCAGCCCTGTTCTAGATCATAAGTGATAGCTGCCTGTTAGCAGAATGAAGTGACTTTTGCCCATGTATGGAGGTTTAAATTATGAAGGATGCTTTTTGCCACCTAATCATAACAGTAACAAGCATTCTGTATCAAGATTCGGCTTTACGTGCATTTCCCTATTTCTTTCTCACGTATCTGTTATCTTCTTAGTATTTTTTTTTTAGGTGAGGAAACAAGGTAACCTACCTATGGTCATGTCCTTAAATTTGGAAGATTCCATCACTAAAGGAACTTATGTTACCACAGACCTCAGTGCATACAACTCTATGGTTAACAAGCCAAGTCTCTGTTTTTATCCTTTGTTAGTATCCGATAATTCAAGAGTTACCAATTGAATCTGGTGGTTTAAATGATTTTATTAGATACAGAGTCATTTGGTAGTGTGACCTTTTTTTTTTTTTTTTTTAATTTTTTTTTTTTAGAGACGAGGTCTCACTATGTTGCCCAGGCTGGAGTACAATGGCTATTCACAGGCGTGATCCCACTACTGATCATCACGGGAGTTTTGATCTGCTCCATTTCCGACCTGGGCCGGTTCACCACTCCTTAGGCAACCTGGAGGTCCCCCGCTCCCTGGAGGTCACCGTATTGATGTCGAACTTAGTGTGGACCCCCAAGTGGCATAGTGCACTACAGCCCAGAACTCCTGGGCTCAAGCTATCCTCCCACCTCAGCCTCCCGA